ACCTTTGCTAGGTGGCTGAGACTGGTTTTTAGCGAAGGGGGGGGGGTGGAATAATATACTTTTCTATTTGTTAATGCTAGCAGCATAAGGATTAAAAATAGTCTATGTTGATTGAGAGAGTGAAGTTCAGACTAAGTATTCAGACCCTGTACTCAGTACTTTGTTGAAGCACCTTTGGCAGCAATTACAGCCTTGAGTTTTTTTTTTTGGGTATGATGATGGGACAAGCTCTGCACACCTGGATTGGGGGATTTTCTGCCATTCTTCTTTGTAATCCTCTCAAGCTCAGTCAGGTTGGATGGTGAGCATGAAATTGTCCAAAATGCCTTGGTATGCTGATGCCTTTAAGAGCTCCCTTCACTGGAACTAAGGGGCCAAGCCCAACCCCTGAAAAACAACCCCACACCATAATCCACCAAACTTTACACACACAATGTAGTCAGGCAAGTCCCATTCTCCTGGCAACCACCAAACCCAGACACATTGCCAGACAGAGAAGCGTGATTAGTCACTCCAGAGAACACATCTCCACTGCTCTAGAATCCAGTTGCGGCATGCTTTACACCACTGGATCTGATGCTTTGCATTGCACTTGGTGATGTAAGGCTTGGATGCAGCTGCTCAGCTATGGAAACCCATTCCATGAAGTTCTCTACGCACTGTTGTGCTAATCTGAAGGTCTCATGAAGTTTTGAGGTCTTTATCTATTGCCTCTGCAAACAGTTGGCGACTTCTGCGCTTCAGCTTGTGCTGACCCCACTCTGTCATTTTAAGTGGTCTACCACTTCATGGCTGAGTTGCTGTTGTTCCCAATTGCTTCCACTTTGTTATAATCCCACTAACAGTTGAGCGTGGAATATTTAGTAGCAAGGAAATTTCATGGATGGACTTATTGCACAGGTGGCAACCTATCATGGTACCACGCTTGAATTCACTGAGCCCCTGAGAGTGACCCATTCTTTCACAAATGTTAGTAGAAGCAGTCTACATGCCTCGGTGCATGATTTTATACACCTGTGCCCATGAAGGTGATTGGAACACCTGAATCCAATGATTTGGAGGGGTGTCCCAATACTTTTGGCAAAATAGTGTATCTTTATGTAACCTAAATTAGTCACAATATATTCAAATGAAATGTCACCCAGACTGGTTTTGTCTCTGGTTTCTTCCTCTGGAGGAAATAACAGCGTGCATATAGATTTGTAAAATCTCTTTAGAGCCAGTGAAAAGCTAAACTCCACTACTTCCATATCTTAATAAGAAGAGGTTTTGCCTTAGCAGTATACAGTAATGTTTTCAAATGTGTTTTTTTGTAGCTGTGGGGTGATTGGCTTTTTAATTGGTAGTATTTTCCAGTCTAAAGAATTCTAAGCACAATCGTCTAAAGGCAGCATGATATACATGTATATATACTGAACTTCATTTTACTTCATATATGGCAAGGTTTGAGGGTTACCATTGCTGCCCTCCCAAGAACACTGCCTTTTAATACTTTATAAAATCATTGCCGAAACAGGTTGGTGACCACCATAATTCTTCCCGTGCCATTGTCAGGTTTACCACACACTAGGGTTGGCTAATGTTTCACACATTTAATAAGAAATAAAAGCATATCTATAAATGTAAATATACATATGTCTGCTGTTTTTAGTGCTTTTTCAACATTTTGCCATCATTTTAACTAGGTCTATAGCTGTATTGAACAATTGTTTCTTTTTGTCCTTAAAGTGTCACTAAACCCAGGACCTTGCATTCACTATATCTGGTCTCCCACAGTACACAGAAATGCAAATATTTTAGTAAATATAAAGTGCTCAATACCTTTTCTCATCAGCAGTTAAAGCAGTCTTATGACATCTATCAGTGTCCAGTAGAACACTGGTTAAAGCTTGTAGGAGTTTTCATTCTCCTCTGCCAGTCCTATGAAGCTGCATAACCCCTGACCCTCTATATGGACAGCGCTGATTGGCCCTGTGCTGATCACATGCACCCTCCCAAGAAAAGAAAAAAAATCTAGCTTATACTCAAACTGAGCATGCATATCTTTCCCCCAAGGCTCTGTTCTATCATGAGATGGATTGGGGACTGTGAAAGAATGGGAGGATCAGAGAAGTCAGGATCAAACATCCTTTTTACACAATGCAGAAGATTAACTCCTTAGGGTCCACAGTGAGTATAACAAGCATGCTTTGCTGCATATACAGACTGATTTTACTTTTGTGGGTTTAACTACCTTAGAACAGAATGTATCTACATCCAGAAGAGCTGCTTTAAAGTCAGATACAACATAATATTAGGAAGCTGTTTATTCCAAACTGCATACAGCTGTTTCACACTTGCTGGCTGTGATCAGTGCAGTGCGTGGAAGCTGTGTCCATGGAGTAGGTTTTAAGGATCAACAAAGACATATAACCAGGCTGGTCAGGTTATACTTTGCCACTGGTTCCCACGCTGCAGCCCACAAGCCACGTGTAGTAGTTTGCCTTAACTGGCCCTGGGGGAACTATTCCCCACTAGCTACTACAGCAAAGATGAGGCACATTGCTTCCACTAATACGGCACTGTTCAAGGATAGGGCACTAATCATTCCATTGCACCCTACAATAGGGCATTATTCCACTCATCAATGCCAACAACAAGGAAATATTGCGCCCACAGACACCATTAATAGGGCATTATTTTTTTCAAATGATGCCCAATGATGGGGCACTATTACTTGCATGGACACTAAAACTGAGACACCATTCTTCCCACTAACACCCAACAATGGGAAAAATATTCCAATTAACCACAGGTGCTACACCATTATTTACTCCCACTACTCTTTAGGGCATTTTCTTCTCCCACTGACCTGAGAACCTGTGGCAATTTCTACTCTCACTAGCAACAGACAAGTCTCACTATGGTCAGCGGTCATCTGGCCATTTGTTTAAAAAGTCTGAGGCCCCCTGCCTCACTCTACAAAAGCTATTGTTTCCATGCAGTGCACTTATGACAGCAACAAGTCTGAAACAGCTGTATGCACTTTATAAAACATGTACAGCTTGGCCTTTTGGGTTTTTTTTTAAACCAGCAGTTATGGAGTAGAGTTGGCCAAAGGGCATATGGGAATTACGTACATGGCTGTCCAATTTCCTAAAATGAGGAATAACCTTATTTTGGGGATTTATGATGCATTGAGACATGTACAGGGCTTGGACGAAATTATGGAAACACCAGGTAAAAATGAAATCGTTGCCTAATATGGTGTTGGACCACTTGAATCCTCCTGGGAATTGACCAATATAAGTCTGGGATGGTGGATAATGCAATTTTTTTTTATTATAATTTAATTTGAAAGAACAAAGAAATAGGCTCATGGATGAGAGGCATATAGGTACATATAATGTCAGTACATAACAGTGAACTAGCCATCATTTTCAGACAACTGAGTAGGCAAATCGGTAATGGAAAGATCCCATGGTTCCCAAACTGCCTCAAAGATGAGGACAGAGTTAGCAGGCAAAGCAGTGAGGTACTCCATTCTTCTAATCTCTGCTAGAACCTTCACCAATTCCAGTCGTGTAGGAGGCGTAGTAGAAAGCCAGTGCATGGGAATGGTTCTCATGGCCACTGTTAAAACATGGGAAGATAGTTTCCTGTCAAATTTGAAGAGGACTGAAAAAGGTAGGGATAATGCAATTTGATACCACTCTTCGTGCAAAAAATCGTACCAGTTCTCGCAGAGATGCCGGAGGCAGAAAACAAGCCCAAACCTTTTTCTCCAAAATTGACCATAGTGACTCCATGATATTGAGGTCCAGCGACTGCGGGATTCAGGGAAGGTGCAAGGCTTTGTCTGCATGCTCATCAAACCATGATTTGAAAACATCATCTGTGTGAATCGAAGCATTATTATCTTGGTAAATTGCACTGTCTTCAGGAAACAATGGGGTGCACATGGTTGGCCAAAATTTGTACATAGTCGCTGGCAGTGACTCTACCTTTCAAGGTGATGATGGGACCTGCAGAATACCAAGATATGGCTGCCCAAAATATGATTGCGCCACCACCATGCTTTACCGTTGGCACTAGACAGTCTTAGTCATAAGCTTGGGATGGTGATTGCTACCTGTAAACACGTCCGGTTATTGGGAACAGTGTGAAGCTCGATTCATGGAACCATAGTAAAGTCTTCCATTGATCGATAATGCACGATTCATGGGTGTTGCACCACTCTCTCATCTTCTTAGCATAATATTGGTCACTAGTGGTTTGGAAATTGCAGCTCGATTGTGAATATTCTGCTTATGGAGTTCCTTCCGCAGTTTTTGTAGACACGGGCTTTGGAAGACTGAGATTGAGCTCTGGAGTTACTTTTGCAGCAGTTTTCTTTATCCTGGGTGACAATCCTGCGCAATGTCCTTTTGTCACTTTCGGTCAGTTGACCATGTCGACTGCGCTTATGCTCATCAGGCGGCATTTTCCCGGAAACTGTATATGCCGTCATAACCTTTAATACAGTATCTGGTGACACGGCAAATAAATTAGCAACTTCAATCACAGAGGCATCACCTAAGTGGCACCAACAATTTGCCCTCTTTGAAACTCAGTAAGCTCTGACATGACTCCGCATTAACAGCAGGTCACACAGTGAATGACAAAAATGAGGCTTCCCACCTGTTAGTTGGAATCTCATCACACAGCGGAAGGAAAAATGTTACATCACTTACGCTTTCAACACCAAACATGTTGTCACTTTCACACCTGCAAATCATGTAGTGTTTCCATATTTTTGTCCAACCACTGTAGATTTTATGTTTTAAGAAGGCTCTGCTGTGTACCGTATTGGTTCATTGAAGGGCCTTTTGGTTCCATAGCCTAAACTTATCTCTTATGACAGATGTACTTCAACCTATAAGTTTCCCAATTAGATGTTGGTAAATGAAGAATGACACAATGGTATACAAATATTAAATGTTTATTGCATAAGCTGTATGTACAGGTATCTCCCAGCTCATCTAGACTGCCCCATGCAGGTACATTGCCCAAAACTTCTGAAATGTTTCTGGTTTGAGTCCAGAGACTCCAGCAGGTACCTGAAAGAAGAAGAGGAAACATTTTATTACTACATCTATTACATTTTTCTAGTTGCCTACACAAATCAGCTAATTTATATATTAACAGTCTAGCCCAGGGGTCTCCAAACTTTTCAAAGGGCTGGTTTACTGTCCTTCAAACTTTAGGACCAGATTGTGACCAGTGGGGGCAGAGAATGTCCCGGGCCCAGCATCAGTGAAAATAAACATGGGGTAGTATTCCTCCCATTAAAACCCTTCATTGGTATTAATGGGAGGAATAATGTCCCATCATTGGTGTCAGTGTACGAAATAGTGTTCCATTGTTGGTGTCAGTGGGAGGAATAGTACATCATATCACTGGGAGAAATAGTGCCCCAAGGGCCAGATAAAGGCTAGCAAAGGGCCACATCAAGCCCTTGGGCCGCAGTTTGGAGACCCCTAGTCTAACCTCTGACAAAATTGTGAGGTGGTTGTCAACAGACACACCCCTCCAAAGCTCATTTATTAAAATTATTGAGAAATTGTGTTTGCCCATTGCAACCAGTTTCTCCCTTTAAGCCCTGGTTCACACCGCTGCGACTTGTCACGTGATTTTACAGTTCCAAATCACATGACAAGTTGCACCCTATTATCGGTAATGGAACCGTTCAAATCGGCGACGACTTTGCAGTGCCACACCACTTTGAAAAAAGGTTCCTTCACTATTTTTTGTGATTTTAGGCGCAACTTGCATAGTCATCTGTGCATGAAGTCACACAGATGACTACCAAGTCGCAGTGACATGCGGCTTTGAAATCATGTGACTTCAAGTGAAGTCGCACGTTTTCGAAGTCAGATCCAGTGTGAACCAGGGCTAAGTGTCACGCTTGTCATAAACAACAAATAGTTCTGCTCTCAGACAATGTGATTACTTGTACTCATACTGAATGCAGGGCACCAACACTACAAAGTAACAGAGTTTATCTGTGATTGCAGCTAATGGCTGGAAGTGTTGCTGGTGGGCATTGATAAATGGGAATGGACCAATAATATTTGCTGTAAATTTCTGCTGAATAAGTAAGTGCTATAAAATACACGAATCAATGAAATGTGAGCACGTCTGCAGCATGATTTCTCCGTGGTCAGCACGGATACCTGGTATCAATTCTCACAAGGCCAATATTAAGGAGATTGTATGTGAGAATTTCCTCCGCACCAGAATATAAGCGGCTACTGGCCTTAATGTGTTGTTTGTGTACACAGACAGGCTAAAAGCTCATTCGGGGGCTGAGACTAATGAGAACGATTTAATGTACTCTGTAAAGACCTATAAAGAGTACATTGGCGCTATAGAGACAAATTTAGATACATGACCCTTGAAGCTTCTTTTTTTTTTTTTTTTTTCTTCACATTTCATACATATTTATATGTCCGGTTGGGCTGTCTGCGCATATAGTGTGAGCTGAGACAGAGACCAATAAAAAAAAAAAAAAAAAAAAAAAAAACGGAGCAGATTCTATTCCAACCAAATGCCCCACCTGTTATCAGCAAACCAAATACAAGGCATTCGTTCTAAAGCCAAATAAAGCTTTTAATGGAAATTTTCCACCCCGTTATATTGTGATAATACCAGCGCATTCTATTACCAGTTGTAGCCAAACACATTTTCTGGATTTATTCTACAGTTGTTTGTGGTACTTTTTGTATTTTTAAAATCATGACAAAATGAATTCAATATATTTCTGCACCTGGTTTAATCCTTTCTAATTGGAAGGAAAACTCCAGTTTCATAGGGTATAGACTAGAGGATGAACAATTGATAAACTATTTTTTTTTTGTTGCTCATTCAAAGCAAAGCAACAAATTCACTTACATTGGCCCTGTCAAAATAAATATGCAACCCAAGGGCCCTCTGCAAAAGAAGAAGTAAATAATCACTCTCCCACTTCCCACACCATTGATATGATCAAGTGAACTACTGGCTGAAGAATTTTCAGAAATCAACACTTCCAGAAGTGTCAGATCCTGGTCCTTGCTGTGGTTGATGGTTGCTCCTGTTAACCCCTTCATCACTAAAGGACACTATAGCAAAGTACCACCAGTGGGAGGAACCAATGTGTACAGCGGGGGACCCAGAAATCCAACATACTCAAAGTGCCAGATTCTAAGAGCAGTGGTTTCCTATCATTATAGCAGTGATGGTCGGCACAGGAAGTTGGAGAGACTGTTGAGTATCTGCTCTCTCTTTTTGAAGGGTTTACATTTGGGGGGGGGGGGGGGGGGGGACACGAAGCAGCAGCTTCAAGCTTCCACTGTGCAGTTCTGCTGCTCCTTGGGCAAAGCACAGCTAACCCGTGGGTTTCATGTGGGTTAGTTGCACTTTCCCATAGACTTCTATGATGTCCTGCGGTTTCGATGCACTTTTAGAAAGTGCACCGAAGATGCAGCATGCAGGAGTTTTGATGCTCTTTTCTGAAACTGCCCCAAAACCACATAGACCTTATAGAAGTCTATGGGAAAGCACAGCTAATTCACATAAAAACCACAGGTTATCTGCACTTCAACAACAACATTAGCAGTGTGAAGCCGCCCTAACTGCCCCTGCATCTCTGCCAATTCCTGCCCACCTTAGAGTAATGGTTTTACTTTTCTTTAGAATGCTCCATAATAACATAGATTAAAATCCAAGAGGAGAGTGGAAACGTCTATGGATGGAAGTGAAATGTGCAGTTTTAGGAACTCAAACTCATCTTTTCACCAATGTTTCCAAGAAATTAAAAAAAACAAAACTTGGTTTCTCAGATATTTTTCATGTAAGAACTACACAGGCTGATTTGCATGTTGATGGCAGCCCAGAACCTGTAAGAACTACTACCATAACAAAGGCATGAGACACAGGGGTTTGAATAATAAAATGTATTATTAAGTGGTAGTAAAGCCTACTTGCTTGCTTGTACCTACAGGTAAGCCTACATTAACGCTTACCTGTAGGTACCGTAAATAACTCCTAAATATGCATCGTTTAGAAGATATTTACTATAGTAGCAGCTAGTGACATCACTGGCGCATGCGCACTGCGCTCTCAGTGGACGTCATGCCACCCAGGGAATATCCGATTGCCTCCCAAGGGATCAGGAAGGAATTTTTTTCCCAGCAGGAGCAAATTGGATCATGCTTTCCTGTTTTTTTTTGCCTTTCTTTCCAAACACGGGAAGGTTTCTTCACAGCAAGAGTTGTAAAAATGTGGACTAGACTCCCTCAAGAGTTATTTCTGGCCAGCTCAGTGGATTGATTTAAAAAAGTCCTGGATTCTTTCTTAGATACACAGAATATAACTGGATACTAACATTTATAGGTAACGTTGATCCAGGGAATATCCGATTGCCTCTCGGGGGATCAGGAAGGAATTTTTTTCCCCTGCAGGAGCAAATTGGATCATACTTTGCTGGGGGTTTTTTGTGCCTTCCTCTGGATCAACTGTGGGTGTAGGATTATAACTTTTTTTTCTGTGGTTGAACTGGATGGATGTTTGTATTTTTTCAGCCAGACTACCTATGTAACCCATTGAGAGAGCTGTGCCGCAACCTTGACTCCTGCCCGCATGAGCGGGAGTGACATCATCTCGTCTTGGCCAGTCAAATAGCGGAAGCCCACGAACCCGGAAGGAAGACTGGGTAAAGATGGAGGCACCTACAGCAGTGACAGCATGCTGCCGTTCTAAGGTAAGTCTTTCATAATGTGCTAGTATGTGATGCATACTAGCACACTATGCTACTATTTTGCAGGGACAATTTTGGGGGGATTTTCTTTTGCGGTTTACTAGCGCTTTAACAGCATTACATGGTCCCCACACTACTTACCACAGCCGCTTTCCTTCTGACTTTCGCTGGGCCTGCAACGGTATCATACAAGGCCTGGTCTCCATCCATCCAGACAATATTCTTTATGCCATTGCTGGACTCTAAATCCAGAGTGTTTAGTTGCAGAACCATAAAGTGGAACAGCTGTCCATCTGTAGCTACACTCTGAACCACAACCGGCTTCTCCAAATTCTTGACATCCTCCTGGGAATAGCAAAGGAAAATATTAGAGTAGCTACGTTGGTCAAAACCTGAACATCACAGTTATTCTTAAAGTGTATGTAAATGCTAATGATGAACAAAAAACACCTGTTGGTCTTGCCAGAAATCTTGTGAGCTGGTAACTCCCTGTGCCCTCTGCCTCTGTTGAATCTTTTCAGTTAGCATTTTACCATCTAAACTCTTCAGACTACAGAACGCCTCCCTCCATGTTATCGAGGGCAGTGAAAGGTACACTCTTGTCCTAATGGGACAATACTGCTCAATGCATATTGTATGACAAGTGAGCATTGCTTCCCAAGGATAGGAAGTCTATTACTGCCAGACTGCCATGTGAAAAAAAACCCTGAAAAATAAAAAAAAAACTAATGTAACTATAAACTACACTCCACAGCACAAAACATTTTTTTATAAATAAAAGTCCCAAAAGTATATAAGAATGTGCTTCAATCCCAGAAACAATGCTCAACAAAATCTTCAAAAAAAGTGCTCACACCATCCGTGATTGATAATCCAATCCCCACTCACCACATGGAGTGGACTCTTTGCTGGCATGGCTAAAGAGTCAAGCTGAAAAGACGGGGTATATCCTCCCCAGATACATCTGCACTTGATATTCTCCAAAAACGATTCCCACGGAAAACATTTTTTTGCGCTGTGGAGTGTTTATAAATTTTTTTTTGCGCTGTGGAGTGTTTATATTTATACTTGATTGTTTTTTTCCTTTCATGAGCAGCAGCATTTACATTTGGATTATATTATATATACTTTTTTCTTTCTTTGGCGCAGGTTTTATTTTATTCAAAGAAACTAATGCAGCCACCACATCTAAGGACAGGTAAGCTGCAATGTGGTTTTTTTTTTTTACCAAAAAAGTCTTTGTCATCAATTTTTTAGGTATCCAAAAACAAAAAAGAAACGACAGAAAAAGAAGACGGTAAAGAAGGTACACTAAAGAGACTGCAGGATACAATCCTGCCGCCATCAGTCAATGAGCAGTACACACAGACATAATCACAGTACAATATTATAGAAGTACATTCACTTCAAAGAGAAGAATACGAGTGTCATGTTTGGCTAGCAGTCCTGATAGTCAATTAAATGCCTTCCCATTATATAATCAGGGGACGCCAAATACAGCAATATTTAGTTGTGTACTCCAGTAACAAGTGTACCTAAAAGAAAACAGCCACAGCCTTGACAAAAATCAAAAAAGTTAGGCACTGCTCTGTCTTTGCGTTTCCTGCTCCCTGAGAGTATTTCCTCTTTTCTCCCCTCGCCACTTTCACCATGCTTGAATTCCCCCCCCCCCCCAACACCGCTCTCCGCCCAATTATCTCCCCCCCAATTTCTCTCTCTCTACTTTCGCCTCTCTTTATTCCCCTTTTCTGTCCTATAATTTTTCTTTTTTCCTTTCCATATCCTTTTCTTTCTATAATATCCACAAAAACTTGGTATGCACAGATGGTGATAGATTACCAGATTGCTATTCCTAGCATGCAAATGTATAGCCTCCAAGTGATTGCCTCCTCTTCCCCCAACGTTTGAGGATTGGCGCACACAGATTAACTCTGCACTTCTCAAAGAACATCATATTTTACAACAAAGGGGTACTCCCCGCAGACATGAAAAGCTGTGGGATCCATGGCTAAAGACCCCAAGTCTAGCCCCATTGACCCGAGTGTCCTTATGGATTTTTCAGTGTTAATCTTAAAAAGGAAAAAAAGGATTGCTCAGGGATTTATGGTTAAATCTCTATCTCTGGCACACCACTAGGTACAGTAAAGGAAATAAGTATTTGATCCCCTGCTAGTTTTGAATGTTTGCCCACTTACAAAGAAATGATCAGCCTAGGTCTAGGCGATACTTTGGTAGCCCAGTCCAGCCTTGTGTAGGTCTACAATCTTGTCCCTGACATCCTTGGACAGCTCTTTGGTCTTTGCTATGGTGGAGAGTTTGGAATCTGATTGTTCGATTGCTCCTGTGGACAGGCGTCTTTTATACAGGTAAGAAAATGAGATTAGCAGCACTCCCTTTAAGAGACTGCTTCTAATCTCAGCTTGTTACCTGTATGAAAGACACCTGGTAGCCAGAAATCCTGCTGAATGATAGGGGATCAAATACTTATTTCCCTCATAAACATGCAAATCAGTGCATCATTTGTTAGACATGCATTTCTTTTGAATTTTTTGTTGCTATTCTGTCTCTCAGTGTTACAATACACCTACCATTTGATTTTTAGACTGATCATTTCTTTGTGAGTGGGCAAACATTCAAAATCAGCAGGGGATCAAATACTTATTTCCTTCACTGTATATGCTTCTAACTGGTATATGTACTGCAGAAGTGCATGGTTTGGAGAGCTGGCTCTGGTTGTGCCTAACTTTTTTTTTTTTCTTTAAGTTTTATGACACAGGTACAATAAAAACGGTAACTTCACAAAACCGACAAACAATAGACACCAGTTACAGCATCCAAAAGTAGGTACAATGCTCAGTAAACAGGACCGGCCAAAAAAACTGACTAAGGTTTAGGTAGTAAAGGGACCGTCATCCATAAAGCAAGGCTACGGCCGTCAAGGGCCTCTTACATCATGTCCCAATGGCTACAACAGGAAAGGACCGGTCCCAACTATGGTCATGAAGGGCCGTTCTCAACTGGTGAAGACTAAGGAGAGGTAATAGAGGTCCTGACCTGTGGTGGAAAATCTTTATTATCTAAAAATATAACACACGTCAGTGGACCATTGTTCAGTTTTACCTGAAAAACCGTATTTACAGTATCGATAATAAGGTGCAAGTAACGGACCAGCTTGAGTCAGCACTAAATGTGTCAGAGATCCGCAGGGGAATTACAGCATCTTGGGCAATCCGGACTCTCCCTACAGTTCCACTGATGGAGCTTCACAGGCGTTCTATATACTCTGTATTACAGAAAACTGAGATGATCATTGCATAGGCGAAAGGGATACTAGTAAAACCTGCTCAGCACGGCCCACCAAGTCTCCTCATCAAGCTCCCAAGGATCCTGTTCCTACCCTAACCTATCAGGTATATGAAGATTGGACAGAGATTTATCCAGCAACTAACTATAGAGCGAGAAAACAAGACCATTTCTATCCGTGGTAGAAGCAAGGGAATCCATGGCAAGAGTAGGGATCAGTTTCATGTTAGATCAATTGGCCTGTGCTGATAAGGGAATGGCATAGCTGAAGGTACTGGAAAAATCTGCAAGGGGAAATATCAAAATCTTGCAGCAGGTCCAAGCTGCAATATGTTAAAGTGTTTGTAAAGGCCAAAAAAGTCAGGGATCTTAAAGTGTTAATAAACCCAGGACCCTGCATTCACTATATCCGGTCTCCCACACAGTACACAGAACATGGAACTGCAATTATTTTAATAAAAATAAACTGCTAAATACCTTTTCTCATCAGCAGTATATTGCAGTCCTGTGTGACTTCTATCAGTGTCCGGCTGAGCACTGGTTAAAACTTGTAAGAGGAGTTTTCATTCTGCTCTGAGTGTTCTATGAGGCCGCATAACCCCTGATCCTCTGTCTGGACAGTGCTGATTGGCCCTGTACTGATCACATGCACCCCCCCCCCAAAAAACAAAACCTCTCTAGCAATACACACCAAATTGAGCATTTACAAAAGTGATTCCTAGGGCTATGTACTATTAACAGATGGATAGAGGACAGTATACACAATCATGCTTTACTGCATATACAGGCTGATTTTACTGCTGTGGGTTTAGTAACACTTTAACCATTCAAAATTCCATCCAAAACCAAAAAGAAAAAAGTAAACGTTTATTTATGTACACTTTACATTTGTGTTATGAGGTTTGGATACAATTTCACCCATCATGAAAAAATACAGAGGATACCATTGCACTATTGCTGATCTCCTTGTAGATCTGTAAAGTCCTCATCTACATGACTATTACAGATCATCAACTCAAAAAAAAAAAAAGCTGGAGAATCAGCAGGCAGCCAGATAACGAGAATTTTCCTAAAAATAGATTAGCAATGGCAGACTCCATGTTTCCTCAGGACATGTTTCCTTGGAATGGCTGTGTATTGTTATCAAACGTATTAAAGTTTTCAGCCATTTCAGAACCCATAATGGAGGTAAAGGTGTTAGTGAGAGGAGACATTTTTCTAACCATGGCTGACTTTCTGTAAAATATTCTCGCGAAGGAGATCAAATCTATAGATCACGGGTTTAAAACTGGCGGCCCTCCAGCTGTTGCCAAACTACAAGTCCCATGAGGCATTGCAAGATTGACAGTTAAAGCATAACTCCCAAAGGCAGAGGCATGATGGGACTTGTAGTTTTGCAACAGCTGGAGGGCCGCCAGTTTGACACCCCTGCATAGAGAGATATATGAAGGCGAACACATATTGTACTGGAACCGTCCCAGCCTGCGCTGAGTACTTCCGTTAGAATACCGCTTCCCCGTCCGAACACCGACCACAGACACCACAAATTTGAAGTAAGCCAGAAAGTAGACTAGGGAGATCTCCCCTCCCTGCATAATGACACAGGGCGGGGCAATCTACATTTAGCAACAAGAGACACACAGGTATTCGAACTTTACTCCAGCAGACAGTTCCATCAGGAGGAAGGGCTGCTGGAGACACCCTCCTACTAAGCTAATACACATAAACACATACATCCCATAATAGTTTGCTCCCAAGCAAGACACACAATAGAACAATGGGATGCGGCCACACAACACCAAACAATCCACAGCCCCCACCCCACCTATCTCCTAGACATGTCTACACAATATTAGGACAGATCACCCTGTACCCCTAACAGGCACAGGGTGACTTACACATAAGAGGGCTATGGGGAGCTAAGACAGGGGTCTCCCACATCTCCAAAGTGAGCTGGGCTCCATGGGCCCCCCACCCCAAAGTGACTTCCGTCACACATATTCCTTACACAGGCACTGAGTGAGTTTAATTACCACTTTAAT